ACGCTGGCCTCCCCGGCGGTGGTGGTGGTGGTCACAGCAACCTCGGACGCAACGGTTGTCTCCTCCCACTCCTCCTCAGTCACGGACCTCGACGACGCCGGGACGAACGGGTCCCAGAAATCCCAGCTGGATCCGTGCGGCGGAGGAGGCGGTGGCGGCGGCGGCGGCGGCGGCCGGATGGCGGAGGACGTGGTGGTGGAGGTGGTCCATGTCACGGTCGTGGGAGTCGGGCTGAGCGGCGGCGGGGGAGGTGGAGGTGGCGTGGAGAGCAGCGGCGGGCGTAATGGATTCTGCGGCGGAATGCGGCGGAGATTCGTCTCGGCGGTGGCGAACTGAAGAAGAGCGGAGCCGGTGTTCCGGAGAGACCTTATATACATAGTATGCGCCGCAGAAAAAGCATGTCTGGCCTTCACAAACTGTTTCATATAACTCTTCCGAGCTTTACACCGTGAAACCAACTCCTCTCTCTCCACTCGAGAATAACAACACCCCATTTCTCCGATCTCTCTCTCTCAATCACTCAAACCCTTTCTTTCGTCTTCTCAAAAAACTGCATTTTCCCCTAAAATTCAAACCAAAAAATACCCAAGAAAAGTTTCAGTTTCCCAGGAAATAATCTCATCAAGAAACCACATTAAACACAAAAGAAAGCAGGAAAAAAAATAAAAATGTTTCCTTTTTCTCTGGCTTATAAAACTTCTTTTCTTTGTTTTCTGAACATAAAGCGTCTGTAAAATGGTGGGGTGGGGGGAGGGGGAGAGGGAGACGACAAGAACACACCAGTGAGAGAGTCGACGTTGGACAGAGTGCCAAATTGGTGTAATTTGATTTACATGGTGACTAAAATGCCCCCATTACGCCTAATATTTACTAATCACAGGAGGAGGGGAATATGTTTATGTTATTTCAGTTACAAAAATCAAGAAAGACAACATAAGATGAATGGCTGCGTGTTGGGAATTTAGAATGGTCAAGGTCAAAGGTCAAATGGTTGGGAGAAGAAGAAGAAGTACTGTACAGATATTAAGAGATGAATGGGTTCATCCCTTAACCAACTTTTACAACCATAACTGTCAGTACCCATCACAGTACAAAGCTTGTGTTCTTGCTCCTCTTTTTTTTTTTTTTTTTTTTTTTTTTTTTTTTTTTTTTTTTTAACTTCAAATTCAAAATTTGAAGTCTTGCTGTTTTGCTTGCAACACTTTTTTTTTTTTTTTTTTTTTTTTTTTTTTGAAAATGTAATATTTGCTGTGCATAAATTTTATGACAGTTTGGGTACTCTTCTCTTTGACTAAAAAAATGTGTGGTAATGTGGTATTATTTGATTAAATTTTATGAAGTGAATCTGTTTATAAATTATGGTGACAAATAAATATTGGGAATTGTAAAATTATGTTAATGTGTGAAAATTTGTGCATAATGTTCTGTGTACAAATAAAGTTCTCTCATTTAAAATTTATTTTAAAAAGAAACGACATTTTCAATCGTTGGGGTATAATTTAGTCTTTCAATTATTCACAACAGATTTATTGAGCACAACAAATTAATTCCAAATTAGGTCATCATTCTTTTTAAAAAACCTTTGTCGTCAAGTACAAAATTGATGTATTTGATCATACTCAAATGATCAACTAATTCAAAATAAGTTAGTATATTTGCTTTATCTTTGCTTTGTTAGCAACTATATGGTGTAGGGTTAAAAAAGGAGCCAACACTCTCTTGGTGAGCCCGTTGCATAATGTATTCTTAGTATGATTTACCTCTTATGTGTGATTTGTAGACTATTACATAAAAACAATGTTTACCAGGTGCTAAAGAAGAAAAAACCAGAAGTATACTCTTTACCTCTCTTAGTGCCTTTAATCAGTTGACTAGTATGTACTCGGACTTTGATCCACCAGCCTCTATTTCTGCATATTTTGAATAAATACCGTACAGGCTCCTTTAAAAAAAAAAAAATACTCTTTAGGTCAATATATATCTATGTCGGCTTACAAAGCACGAAGAGTCATTGACCAAATTCGTGGGTGTTCCTATGAGGAAACACTTATGATATTAGATGGGCCTATGTGGTGGGGATTGAGCACTTTGCAGTAGTAGATGAGCCTATTTGACACTTGTGTCGCTATTTGCACCACCCCTAGTGAAAAATGGGTGTAAATAACATTGGAATTATATGGATATTTATACTAAAATGGTCAAATGTAATTTACGAGTTTCCATAATAATTTTAAAAGATTAAAATGTATCATTAATAATTTTTTAATTAAATTTTATTACTAAGTTATTTTTAGCTAAATGTAATAGTTTACTAATTATTATGATATATTTTAGTATAATTCAATCAAATTCTACTTGAGTATTGAATAATCATTCCAATTTTGATGTGAGTCAATATAATTTGTTGCTGATTAAATTTGTTAGTCAACAATAATATTTCTAATTCCAATACGAGTCCATCTAATTTTTTGTGTGATTAAATTTCTTAGTCAACCTTATATTTGTGAGATGAAACTATTGGTAATTTGGGCGGCAAAGAAGACTAACTGGACTCATATGACTCTATATATTATTAAAATTAGTTTTATCATTAAAATATATTAAGCGTTGGATACTACCCAAAATAATTAAACAATATTATAGACCCTTTCAAAAAAAACAATATTATAGACAAAATTATTATAATATCACACTTTGAAATAAAAATAAATACTAAATATTTTAAATAAAAAGGTGAAACATGTAATTAAAGTTAAACACATTTCATAAAATTAATTAAAAGATAATCAAAAAAGTAATCTAAACAAAAATCAATGTATTCATCTAAATTCTAATATTAGACTAATTTTAATGAAGGTGGTGCAAATAGTAAGTTGTTCTATTTACACCACCTATAAAATTAACACACCTATTAAAAGATAGTGTAAATAGTAACAAGGGTGATACAAAACTGCAAATAGAATTCCCCTTCTAAAACTTATGAATGTAATACATAAATTAAAAGTGAAATTAACTCAACCACAACTAATGATTGATAGTGGAGTAATTTATTTATTTATGCGAAATAGAAAGAGGAGGTTTGCAAATTGTAACATATGCTGACTTTACAGTGGACAATGCGGTGGCAAATCTTGGGAGTATTGAGGAGGAATTGCAACTATATACTAAAATGATTCATCTTTTTCTCTTTTTATTCACTTTTAATTCTTTTTCCATAGAGGACTGTGACCATGGAATCAATCTGACAGACCATTGCAGATCCACTGCTCCTATATAATAATCTGACACAACACCTACCTTCTCAAAAAATTATACTGTTTATGTCCGCACTTACCTCAATAATTCAGTAGCCAGTATTTGAAAGAATAGATCAATGTTTAAATTTCAGCGATAACAATGTGAGAATTATGCCTAAAGTGCATATATTCTTTGTGTGCACCGACATTTGACAATCATTATTGTGTGGACCGTGATCCACACAAGTTGCGTGGACCATATTTTGTATATTATAAAATAATGTGCATTTAGTACACAAATGATGTATTCTTAGTATATTAAAAATGTACTTTGTTTTCAGGAAAAATACATTATTTCATTACTAAATATACATTATTTTATATATAATGTACATTTAGTACACAAATAATGTGATTTGCCGGCATTTGGCCCTCTCTGCTGAGTCATTGAGTCACCGTAATTTATATCCTCCAAATGCTTTGTTGGACCGAATGTGGAGACCCTTGGAATTGGGGCAAATTATGTTGTGCATCCGTATGCACCATGCATGGTGCATACATGGTGCATACAGATGCAAAAACGACGTCGTTTTGCATAAAACGTGCGCCCTACTTAAAAAAAAAAAATCAGTTTCGATTCCTAGCAACAACATTATGTTATTCATTTTTATTTCATTCATTTTGGATTTTTTAGTTATGAAATTCTGGAAGTGTAGTTATGCAATTCTGGAAGTATAGTTATGCAATTCTGGATGTGTAGTTATGAAGTTATGGATGTGTAGTTATGCAATTATGGAATTATAGTTATGCAATTCTGGAAGTGTAGTTATGCAATTTTGGAAGTGTAGTTATGCAATTCTGGAAGTGTAGTTATGCAATTCTGGAAGTGTAGTTATGCAATTCTGAAAGTGTAGTGAAATTATGGATATGTAGTTATGCAATTTTGAATTTTTTTTTTTTTAAGTTAGACGCAAAAACGACATGCATCTGTATGCACCATGCATGGTACATAGCATACGGATGCACAACATAACGCTCCTGAAATTGGAGATTTAAACTTTTTGGGAAAAGAAATTACACTGTTTATGAAAATTTTATTATTATTTAATAATACTACCTAAATTGTAGCATTAAATATGAGATTATGTAATCATGAACCTAACAAAAAAAAACGGAAGAGACTTGATTCAACACATGAAGATCAATGGTGTACTTGTTGTTATTGGCCCACTAGTTAATTCACTCAATAATTAACTTCTTTGTGAATATGGAGGGTACAATGCCATTAATTGATTTTTAGTAAAATATTATTAAATTAAGTGTTTCTCTTTTCAAAAAGGAAAAATAAAAATTTAAAGTTCATTTAAAGATGAAAATCTAGTTGCATTTAAAGTTCTTATTTTAAGAAATTCTTCAATTTAACGTGTCTTGTTAAATTGTTTTGTAAGAATTATTAAGATGAATGAGTACTTTAAGAAATTCTTTCTTGTCACATGCCTTGTTAAATTGCTAAAATTTAAAGAATTAATTCTTCAGCGTCACGTGTTTTGTTAAGCCAAGTCGTTATGTAAACATTATTAAGATGAGTGATTATTTTTAGAAATTCTTTAAATCAAGTGTCTTGTTAAGTCATTTTGCAATAACGGAGTACTTTAATAAATCTAAGTACTAGTTTTGAGAGGTAATTCTTGAAATGGCACTGAAAGAATTTAAAAGGAAATTTAGGAAGCTTCTTCTTCTTCTCTAATACACTGAAATGGGTGTTAAGGAATATAAGAAAAGTAAAGGAGAACAAGCTCATCTCCCTACTCCTAAATTAAATAATTTATGCATAATAATCTAAAACAATAAGAATGGATGATAATTAGATTTAAACAAATAAATAAATAATCCAATCCCATAAGAATGGATTCCTCAGGCTTTAGGACTCAATGACAGCGTGATGTCTTGAAAAACCTTAAGCCTCTTCTCAATCTTTCTGGGACAATGTTCCAGCTTCGACGATGTTGATGTTGTTTCAGAATCCAAAACTGCTGCAATTATCGCGTCCTCGAAGTCCTTGCTGTCGGGCAGCATCAAGTCCGCCCATTTCTTCTCCGGCGAAATCGACTGCCGTCTCATCTTGTTTTCCGGGGTGGCGCCGGCGCCGCCGTTGCCGGACCTTGTTCGCTTCAGCACCGGCTCCTTGGAGGCGAATTTGGAGGAGTAGAACGGCGGCGCGTCTATGTTGAGCGAGTTGAGAGGAGGCTTTTGCGCCACCCGGTTGGAAGATACGATGTTTTCGTCTGGGAATTGGTCTTCTTGGAGCGGATTTGCGGTTGTTATTGTTGTGGAGCAAGGCTGAGGTTGCCAGATTGCGGAAGAGACCAAGAAAGATTCGAAAGCCTTGCGGTGTTGGTCGGAGGAGCCGACGACCTTAACCATGGCGACGGATTCGAGATCCTGAAGCATCTGCTGGGCTCTCTCGTAGGCTTTGAGGTGAGAATCTACGCCTCTGGGGCCGTCCGCCACCGCCGGTTTTACGCGGCGGAGCGTCTCTTTAGCCTCCCCCACTCTTCCTTGCTGCATCAAGCAAATCCCCAGATTGCACATCTTGTTGTTGTCTGGCGCTATCGCTAATGCCCTTCTGTATGCATCTTCTGCTTCTATGTAGTTGCTTTGCTGCATCAACGCCCACCCCAAATTCCCCTGTAGAAAAAAATGATTTTTAATTTTTGGGTTTCTTTCTCTCAATTTACTGATCATCATTGTTGAGTTATATATCTTTATATGATTATTACCAGGAGTCTAGTGGCTTCTTGATCAACTGAAACCTGGAACTTTTTCCCTTGAGATCTTGCAGTCTTCGTTCTCTTTCCATTAAAGGCTAATCCTTGTTGGATCATGAACAATTTGTGCCTCAACAGTCCAATTTGATCATCCAATCTCCCACATCTCTGTCAACACCACAATTAAGTCTAAAAATTCAATCTTTGCAAATTTAAATGGAGCCCATCATTCAATTTGGTATCAGAATCAATCTTATGAGATCATGGATTCTTAGAGGGCATAAGAAAGTAATCGGTCCACACACGTGATGAGACATCAGTTTAGTCTTTTAGTTAAAACAGAAGGCATCATTTGGAATGAATGCAAGGGAGTGAAGGGGAACCTTGTAGAGGTCTAACAAAATGTTGTCAAGAGCTTCTTGGGCTTGATCGGAACACCGGTGTCTTAACGATTTGATCGCTTCAATGGCTTCCTCCGCCCTGTTTTGCTGCTTCATCACGATCGCCATGTCTTTCAGAGCACTATCCACTCTGTCTCCGGCGTTAATGGCTGCCCAGAACAGAGGGATGGCCTTCTCCGGATCCTTATCAACCAGCTGCAAATTCAAATTCAAACCCCAACATGTCAAAAACACAACTACAAGTCTATAACTCATTATCAGTTTAAACTTTTAATCGAGACATCGATCGGTTCAAGAAACATACTTGGACATTCTTGGCTCGAACGTAAGGGCTGTCGCCGACGGGGACTTTGGGGGCGGCGACATGGAAGGAATCGGAGCGGGTTCTGGCGACACCCAGAGGCTTGGCGGGGGACGCCGGAGCAGATTTGGTGGGTCTGAAGCCCGGCGGCCCATTCCACGTTTCCTTCAACATCCTCTCCGATTTCGATTTCGATTTCCTCTAAACGGATTCGAATTTTTTTGTTGCAGAAAATTCAGATGGAAATTTGCAGAAGGAAGGGAGAGAGTGAGAGGGAGTGAAGGGGAGAGGGTGCAATTTAGGCATGGAGAGTGTGGATATTTGACCGTTGAAATATAGCCGTTGGGAGTCATATGACCACCCGTTGGGTCTTTTCCCTTGAGGCGTTTTTATTGCTATACTGTAATACTGTATATATCAAGTCCATTGTATTGCAATATTGCATGAATGTTCATAATCTTAGAAAATATTTTAAGCATTTTACCAAAAAATGTAACATGCCAGCTAATTAAACGTTTTCTTCTTTCAATATGCAAATACAAAATAACATTAATTAATTATCCAAACATGCTTAAATCGTAATATTTTGAAATCGAGTTAAATTTCTCACATTGTTTATGAGTTTCAACCATTTGTAGCAATTGTGGTTGTTTGATGCAATTGATGCTCTTGTAATTAGGAAATATGAGTATGATCAATTGTGGCATTGTAATATATTATTGATATTTAAGATTGGTAGAGTAAATGACGTTAAATCGCTAATCTAGTCCAACCTAGCCTAACTAGGCATATTAGAATGTGAGCTCAGCTTAGAGCAACGTTAACACTAAGGATAACAATTTTGTATGTTCTCAACTAAAGTCCCTGATCCTGCTTTCAAAAAAAAAAGTCTCTAATTCCCTTCCCGACGATAATAGGAACTGAGAAAAACTTCTAATAATGGGACGGACGGAGATGGAGAATGCTTTCAAATCCCCGCCAGGGGATGAGGATGGGGACAGAGATACACCTCCATGCCCTCGTCCTCAATTTTTTAAAATAATAATAATAATAATAATAATAATAATAATAATAATAATAATAATTATTATTATTGTTGTTGTTGTTGTTGTTGTTGTTGTTGTTGTTGTTGTTGTTGTTGTTGTTCATAAGGTTTAGATAGTTTGTATTGTATTTTGATATTACATGTGGTTACATTTTGTATTTGTGTACTTATGTTCTTATTTGTATGAAAGCTATTTGAATATTATATTTGACATTTCAGTTGTTATTGAGAAATAATAAAAATTAAGTATTTTAAAGTTACAAAGACTATGTGATTTAATGGTATCCGGGTTGGACTTTCATTTGGAAGATTGTGAGTTTGAGCCTCAGTGGAAGCGTTATTGGTTCTTTGTGTTTTAGTAGTTGAGAAAGTATATGAACAGACAGATACTACATTGTAATAGATAATTAGTAGGTTGAGAAAGTATAATAGATAAAAAAAAAAGTATTTTAAGGTTAAAAATTTAATATTTAAATTTTTTACTTAAATATTATTAATAGGGAATATACACCGGGGAACAATTATCTAACCCCCACAACCAAACGAAGTGTAATTTCCAATTATATTCGTCCGGATCTTAGCAGATCTGACCAGTTTGGTCGTCCCATTTATGCTTTATAACACACTAGATTGGTTAACCTAGGGTCCCCAGTTGGTTCCTAGCCATTTTCAACTGTAAGGATGCCGACACCAACTTAACCCTCATTCTGACCGTCACCAAACAACCTTATAACTGTTTACGAAGTGAAACTCAAGGTCACATCACGTCCCATCAAATTATCGAAACCATTAGGACACATGGCACAATTGTTGTCGTTGTTGAATCCACATGGGACACGTGGAATACATGTCGAAAAATCGACATGTGTCCCCTCACCCCACCTATATAAATCGCATTTAATGCTTAAGGGGGGGGGGGGGTTCATAGAACAATTCATATAATGCATCTTTAACCTTCATCACATTTATATGTGCATCATTCACATTATAAGCAAAATCAACCAACCTCATTTTGTACCTAGAATTAAGTTGACGAGCGAGTTAACGAGTAAGGAAGAGAGAAGAAAGACGATGGTGTATTGATAGTAATATGAGTTCTTGACATTACAGAGAAGATAACATGCTTATATACAAAAGAGCTAGGCGGGAAAGGTGGTTACAACAGAATCATGCTGAATTACTCTACTGCCCCTTTCTTGTTGATTGCTTCACGTGATGCATGCTCCAATTACCCCCCCCCCTCCCCCCAGTAAGCTGTAGCGTCCAAGTCTTGTACGCCCAGCTTAGAGGTAAACAAATGAAACTGTGCCGTGGAAAGAGCTTTGGTGAATCCATTGGCAACTTGGCTTGAGGAAGGGACGGACAGGAGTTTGATCAAGCCTTGTGTTACCTTCTTTCGAATAACGTGACAATCAATTTCGATATGCTTGGTCCTCTCGTGGAAGACGTAATTTTCAGCGATTGCCACTGTAGATGAATGCCCTGTCCGGGTGCATTTTTGATATAGCGCAACACTCGGTGCGCACAAGACATATGTTCACTGGTAGGGGAACCAACGAATTGGCTCAACTGTTGCACTGCATAAGAAATTTCTAATCGAGTTGCTGTAAGGTACAACAGCCAGCCTACCAGTCTCTTGTAGCATCCAACATCGCTTATCACTTCACTATCACCTCTGTCTAGCCGGTGGCCTGGAACCATAGGAGTACTTACCGGCTTTGAGTCAAGAAATCCAGACTTATTTAGAATGTTCAAAGCAAACTTGTACTGGCACAAATTTAAACCCAAGTTGTCTATATGTGCTTCAATGCCTAGGAAATAACCTAGAGTACCCAAATCCTTGATTTTGAATGCATTATCAAGGTATGTTTTAAGTTCTCGAATAAGACTCATAGTTGGACTAGCAACAAGAATATCATCCACGTAAACAAGGAGAGCTAGAAAATCCGAACCATACCCTTTTGTGAATAACGAAGGATCGGCCTTGGACTGGTTGAATCCCATACGTAGAATGGCAGTGCATAGCTTGGCATTCCACTGCTGGCTTGCTTGCTTTAGACCATAAAAAGAACTTATAAGCTTGCACACTTGATTGAGCTTTTCTCTTTTGAAACCGGGAGGCAACACCATATACACATCTTCATCTAAATCGCCATGAAGAAAGGCGTTGTTGATATCCAATTGATGGATATGCAAAGCTTGAGAAGTAGCCACTACCAAGAACGTTCGGATGGTGGTAATCCTGGTTACGGGTGAGAACGTTTCAGTATAGTCAATTCCTAATTGTTGTGTGTAGCCTTTGGCTACAAGCCTCGCCTTGTACCTTTCAACGGAGCCATCCGCCTTGAGCTTGATTTTGTACACCCTTTTACATCCTATGGGTGTTTTCCCGGGAGGTTAGTCGGTTAATTCCCATGTAGCATTTTATTGGAGTGCTTCTATTTTGGCATCCATTGTATTTTTCCAACACTCGTGTCGTATGGATTCATTATAGGTTCTTGGCTCTTCAATGGATGTTACATCCATAGAGAAAATCTTGTGTGGCATGGTAAGATGATTGCATGATATAACACTAGCCAAAGGATGCAGAGATGATACCTTCTTTGTGATGGTGTCACAATAGTAATACTGAAGTCTGCTAGGTACACGACAGTTTCTGCTAGACTGTCGAGGAGGAGGGGAGTTACTGACAGAACCAGTAGCTTCCATTATGTCATCAGTATTGTGGCTACTAATATTGTCATCAAGACCATGTCGAATATTTGAAGATGCCGATGACTCAGAGGTAGAATGCGACTGCCCAGTACTAGAGGTATGTTGCCCAAACTCTGCATATGGCATAGAAGTTGTGATAGGTATATTAGGTAGAGGAGGATTAGGTAGCATCGGTTATGGCAATTCTAATACCTCTGTCTGTGAAAATGAGAATTGTGTTTCATAGAAAGTGACATCTCTCGAGACAAAAATGGTTTTGGCATCCATATCATATAATAGATATCCCTTAATGTTTGCCGGTATACTAATGAATGCCCATTTTCTGCCTCTAGGAGCCATTTTATGCCTAGCATGTGGTAAGGTGGTTGCATAACATAGACATCCAAATACTCGTAGACTGTTTATGTTAGGGTCCTTACCATACAACTTCTAATAAGGGCTTGAGCAGTCAATAACCGGCAAAGGCAGCCTGTTTATGATGAAGGCAACATGCAAGACACATTGTCCCCTTTTCCATTATTATTTCGTCTGCAGTAGCTATATTTTCATCAGAACTAAAGCCTTGTTTACTCCGTATGTTCGGAATTGCATTGGCATGGTTAAAGTCCAGATTGCCAAAACTTAGATTTGTCAAGTTAATTTGTTTTTCTAATTTTTCAGCCATCACAAAGACTTTATAGACTTCCGGCAATGGATCAAGTACAAGAACATTAGATTTTAAATTGTTATAATCTTCATTTAACCCTTGAATGAATCAGATTACCTTATCCATGTCACGTTCCTTCCTGCTTTGATCTATTAGATTACACGAGCAGCGTGGACGACATCTGCAGACCAGAAGAGGCCTCAACACGTTCATCTCCTCCCACATTATTCAAGACTTTGTGCAATATTCATTCACGGACATGTTCGCTTGCTTGAGATTGTAGATTTCATTCTGTAAAATTGAGATGCGCTGAGCATCATGTTGTGAGAATCTCCTCTTCAAATCATCCCACACCTCCTTGGCTTTGTCCAGATGCAATGATGCTCTGTGCGATGGACGGTTGTACTGACTTGAAGATCCACGAATAAATCATCAAATTGCATCTCCTCTAAGCAGCATAGTGAAGATGATCTCGGCTCTGTGCTAGAGTGCTGCCATCAACAAAACTCCATTTATTCTTCACCTCCAAGGGCTATACGCGTGGAAATGGACCACGAACCGTAGTTCAAACTCCCTGTCAGTGGGTGGAGTAACCAAAACCACGCACAAATTGTCATTGGTGTGGAGGAACAGAGGCTTCTCCAGTTCTTCAGTGTTGTAGTTTCTCTACATCTGCGCAAGTAAGTTCTTTTGCGGAACAGTCATGGAATTGGTGCGAATGGGTGATCGGCTCATTAGCGACGCAGCTTGCACTCCTTGATTTGATTCTCGGGCGCCGGAGACATCAGTGGCATAGGAGTTCCGTCGTGGCTCTGATACCATGACGAGCAAGTTAACGAGTAAAGAAGAGAGAAGAAAGGTGATGGAGTATTGATAGTAATCTGAGTTCTTGACATTACAGAGAAGATAACATGCTTATATATAAAAGAGCTAGGTAGGAAAGTCGGTTACATCAGAATCATGCTGAATTACTCTACTGCCCCTTTCTTGCTGATTTCTTCACGTGTTGCATGCTCCAAAAGACATAAAAAGATTGCAATCACCCTAATATTTATCAAATTCTGTCTTCATCTTTTGAATCATTTCTATAATTAGCTTTTCATGATGACACAATTTTCATTTAATACATGCTTGACATTCCAAACAACACCAAGAAAAACATTAAAAGTGGGATAGTTAGTTTCATATATCACTTGAGTAGCTTCATAAACAACGTAACCACCTCTAAGATGCTAAGAAATCATCCTCTATTTTACTCCAATCTTCCAAGCTAGGACAACATTTATACGAAGGTTCTCTTTGCGCAAATATTGGAAATGCATCCTTAACTTTCATGGCTACAACTAACATTTCATTTGTAGAATTCCAATGAGTAGCACAATCAAGGTTTTAACTTTTTCCCAAATGATGCACAATTTCAGATAACTTCAACAACCTAGACTCAGATTGATTATTAATCACACACTATTCCTAACATCATCAATATTGGTTTTAATTTGAGAAAAACCATCTTGAACAACAAGATTCAACATATGAGTAGTGCATCTCGCATGAAATAGCTTACCACCCAAATGTAACTTATGACTCTTGGAGAATGTTTCTTTGGCGATTCTAACTGCGACATTATTACATGAAGCATTATCCACTGAAATTGTGAAGAGTTTATGCTCTACCTCCCAATCTTTTTGTGGACTTCATAACCCTATCATTGATATCAATACATGATATATAAAAATAATATAATTCAATTCAAGAAAAAGTTATTATTAATTAATTTAATATAGAGATATATTTACAAACAAGTGAAAAACATAACTGTAGAGGAGGAAAAGACATAAAACTAAGAACACACTTTTGAAGTTGCCAATTTGAATCAACAAATGTCTAGTGAGTAGTGAGACACATATATGAAACGTTTTGTACCTTAGACTTCCAAATATCAGTGGTCAATGATATTTTATCGATATTTCTTAACATCAATTGTAACATTTTCTTCTCTGTGCCATAAACAGTAATGACATTATTCTTTTCCATGACACGAGAAACATTCTCAAATTGTAGAAGATTCACTTTGAACATAAAAGTAAAGCCATAATTTTCCACATCATTTAATGGTTGCTTGTGCATTAGAATCCAATGGGCAATAGCTTTTATTTGCTTCGTATGATCATATTTACCATCTGACAAATTAAAGGAGGTGTCTCAAACTTGAACTTTGTATTATGAAATTGCAAGGTTTTTGATTTTTTTTTTTATGAAATTTCTTTTGTGTACACATATTCAAATGATTCCAAAGATGTGTTATTGTAGAAGAAGTCGACTTAGAAAGTAGTGTTTTACAATGTATACATTGTAACTTTATACTTCCATCCTTTATAGTAACTTAATTCATTAAAATTAGCATGAGCTTTTCATGCCTTCTTTCTTTTCTTCCGTTGAAATTGACATTGATCATCATTCTTTTCACAATCTTTCTCACCGTCACCTTTTTCATCTCCAACATCCAAAATTTCATTTTGTACACCATCATCATTAATATTCAAGTTGTCTACATTATCACCTCCATCATTAACTTCATTAAAATGAGTCTTTGACTATATATATTTTTGCATCATAATAATCAGTTCAAAGTTTTTCACTTCATATATTCTTGCTAACATTGTTAAATACTTTTATAATTCATGACTAATTGACTAATTGTAGGGTGCTTTACTGATCATGTGCAATTAAAAAAATATGAAAGTACTCCTTCCTGCATTAGTTACTAGTGAACAAAGCTAGCAGATAAAAATCATAAAATTACAGATTTTTTTCTTACTTAGCAATAATATAGTAGTAAATTATAACTAATTTCTCTTATTTAGAAAAATCATAAAATTATTTAGACGGGTTACCTCATCCATCTCCATCTTCTTTAATATCGTGTCTTTGTGTTTGCTCATTTGGATTTGAGGATTCCATATACAAAAATTAGTGAATGGCCGTCCAAAAGATTCAAGAAAGTGGTGGTATGATATGCAGCAGTGCGACTACGCGACAGCGAATGTTTTGTTGGAATACTAGTCGAATCAAACATACTATGATTTGTATTCGAATTGAAATATATGAATTCGAATCATGAATCGAATTTAAAATATTTAATTTGTTTACACCCATAACTCATGAACTCAGGAATTCATCGTCAATGGTGGCTCCTTTAGAGGAAGAAGCACTCACTCAACTCACTATTGTATCCAAGAGAAGGCGAAGTTTCTTCATCTCCAGGGACGGAGCCAGGAATTTTGTTGAGGGGGGCGAAATAGAGACGGATTAAAAAAAAATTTCAGTAAAGGCGAAACATTAAAATAAAAGAGATATTTGAAAAATAAATAAATAAAGTACCTAAGAAATATAGGTGTAAATATTATTGGATACGGGCAAAACATAAAACACATCGAATTTGAATATATATGTATGTATGTGTGTGTATTAAATATTTAAAAAGCTATTAAAACGTGACTCTGTTAAAGCCATAGATAGGGAAGGAGCCAAAAAAACTGTAAAATTATATTAACAACCAAAGGGTTTGAACCCTTGACCTTTATTATAACTAAACACATGTTTTACCAACTAATCTAACTCATTTCCTATTAATAATCAACAGTTTTTATATACTAATATTCAAACAAGTACTATATATACACATATACACACAAAAATTATATATGGGGTGAGGGTGGGGTGAAGGGAGGCAGCTGACCCCCCTGCCCCCCTTTGGCTCCGTCCATGTTCATCTCTAGGGCTGTGCATAAACCGACCCACCCGAAAAACCCGACCGACCCGAACCCGAATATATGCACTTGGGTGGAATCCGAGCCCGAATTAGCATACCCGAACCGTTCACACGCCACGTAGCCGGTTAGAACGAGGCGGGTTGGGGGTTATAAAATTCCCCCGAACCCGTCCGACAACCCGAATTAGGGTAAGACTGCGTATACCCTAAGGTATACGACGTCGTGTAAGTGGTGTATATATGTTGCCTTTGGAGGAAACCCTACTCATTTCCGCAGCTTCCTCGTCTTTCTTCTGACTTCTGAGAACTCTCTAGAGTCGTTCTCTGAACTTCTCTCGTGAGTCTCGTCTTTCTTCTCTGAAATCTGAAACCCTAGTTAGTTCTTACTTCTTTCTTCTCCAGATCTCTGACTCTGTGAGACTCTGAGTCTCTGAGTTCTCTCATTCTCTCTGAGTTTGAGTCTCCGGTGGAAGCTAGCTAATATTGTTCGGTAGAAGCCCTATTCTAGAGTCTGGACGACCTGTGGCCGGTGCGGTGGATTGTAGATTGCTGTCACGGTCTCACGGATTTGAAGCCCTTTGTTCTCGGGGGTTTGATTTGGAGAAACGAAGTAATCTCTAAACCCTAATCTTAGACATACTTAGATTATACTCTTATATATTGTGATACGTTGTTGTTATTTGTGATTCTATGATTCTGATGACTGTGACAAAGTGAATCTGTTGAGAAGTTCCGGATTGCATGTCACTTATCCCTTATTTGTGAATTTTTGATCCTTTGATTAGGGCTTCTATGATTCTGATGACTGTGACAATGTGAATCTGTTGAGAAGTTCCGGATTGCATGTCACTTGTCCCTTATTTGTGAATTTTTGATCCTTTGAATAGGGTTTCTATGATTATATGGACTGTGACATTTTAGAATCACTTAGTTGTGATTGTTTGTGGAAGCCCATAAGTCCCTTACACTTGTTGATTATACTTTGTCTGTATTGTTTGTGGAAGCCCCTAAGTCCCTAACCCCTGTTGGCTGTTGGATGTTGCCTGTGTTGGTGAAAATGGTGGAAGCCCCAATTGTAACTACGAATTGTGAAATCCAGTAAAATGATGAATGTAAACTTCAGGCTTTCACCATCCTGATTTCTGGATTTCTTTGTCACTTTGTGTGATTAATGTGATACTGTGATTGTATCCATGTATGCCTGTATGTTACTATGTTTATAACTTATAAGTTATAAGTTTATGGATGTATGACCCTTAATAGTTAATTCCTTAAAGTCCCAATTATGAAATTTAGAAAAATGATGAAGTTAGGAACTGCCTGTCTTCTGATTCTGGATTTCTCTAATTCTGACATTCTTTGAAATGGTTCCCACTGTACTGATAGTATTCCATTTCTTTAGATGGAAAATATCATAGAGTCTGGTAGTCAACCTTCCAACTCTTCACTTCATGGATCTACAGTGGTGGAAGCTCAGACTGTTGAGATAAATAATGATCAACAGAATGTGCAACCTACTGTTGCGGTTCTTCCGAAGAAAAGGAAGGTAGTTGAATCCAGATCTCCTGTGTGGGATCATTTTGAAAAGATTGTTGATGAGAATAATGTTACTGTTGAGGGCAAGTGTATATATTGTGCCAAAATATATAAATGTGAGACCAAAAAACATGGTACTTCATCATTGAGAACCCACATGTTTAACTGTCTTAAAAACCCTCACTCAAAAGACACAAGGCAATCACTTCTGACCTTTCAAGCTGTTACCAATTCTGATGCATCTCCTGCTACTGTTGGTGAGTTAGGAACTTGGGTCTTTAATCAAGAAGCTATTAGGAAGGCCTTAGTTGAAATGATTATAATAGATGAACTCCCTTTTAGATTTGTTGAAGGTCCTGGATTTAGGAAGTTCATTCATACAGTTCATTCTGGTATGTTGTCCTAGGTTTAAGATTCCATCAAGATGGACAATTAGTAGGGATATCAATTTGATTTATGAAGAGGAAAGGCTCAAGTTGAAGTGCATGTTTAGGGGAAACACTCAAAGAGTCAGTATTACTACTGACACTTGGACTTCTATTCAGAGAATTAACTACATGGTAGTTACTGCTCACTTTATAGATGAAGAGTGGAGGCTAAATAAAAAAATTATTTCATTTGTCCCTGTCACATCACACAAAGGTGAGTCTGTTGCAAAATCCCTTGAAAACTGTTTGCTGGATTGGGGTATTAGAAATGTCTACACTATTACAGTGGACAATGCATCATCAAATGACACTGCCCTAGGTTTTTTAAAAAAGAAATTGATGTCTTGGGGAACATCTACTGTGAAGGGCAAGTACATTCACATGAGATGCATTGCCCATATTTTGAATTTAGTTGTGCAAGATGGGCTAAAACAGTGTGATGATTCTGTGAAGAAGGTTAGGGATGCTGTAAGGTATGTGAGAAGTTCACCTGCTAGACTTAAGAAATTTAAGGACTTGTCTGAATGGCTTGGGATTGAAAAGAAATCTTCTCTGTGTCTAGATGTTCCAACCAGATGGAACTCTACATATCTTATGTTACAATCTGCAGTATTTTATGAGAAAGTGTTTTATTCACTTGAAGAAAGTGATTCTTCCTTCAAATCAGATTTAGGTGATTCTATTCCTAACTTTCTTGATTGGGAGTCTGTGAAGAGTTTGGTGAATCTGTTGAAGTGTTTTTATGATATGACAATAAGAATTTCAGGTTCTTTATATGTCACATCTAACACTTTTTTTTTTCTGAAATTTCTGATTTATATTGCCTATTGAATGGAATGGTGGAAGCTGGTGGTTCTGTGAAATTGATGGGGGAAACTATGAAGGTTAAATTTGAAAAGTATTGGGGGGATATAGCTAAGATGAACTTGATGATATTCTTTGCAAACATTCTTGACCCCAGGGACAAATTAGAGTACATGCCAGCACAGATCTTACACATGTATGGTGAGTTAAAAGGTAAAACCTACTATGAGAAAGTGGTTGCAGCTTTTACAGAGTTGTTTGATGATTATGCTGCCTCTGTTGTCCCTATTGCTCCTGTGATTCCTTCTACTGTTGTCCCTACTGTTTCTGTCATCTCTTCTACTGATTCTTCACAGTCTAATGTTGGGAAGCCCCAGGGTTTGTTAAAGTCCCAGATTAAGAAACAAAGAATGGAGAGTGGGGGAAAGAAAAAAACTGAGTTGGAAATTTACCTTGCTGAGGCATTAGTTGAAGAAGAATCTTCTTTTGACATACTTAGAGCATCAACTCCGTTCCTGTGGGCTTTTGAGGAGCGGGAGAAATTGTTTGGAAGCTGAATGCTGAAAGATTTCCTATCCTTTCAAAAGTAGCTAGGGATGTCTTAGCTATACCAATATCCACTGTTGCCTCAGAATCTGCCTTCAGTACATCAGGGAGGGTTTTAGATCCTTTTAGGAGTTCTTTAACTCCTAAAATTGTGGAAGCTCTGGTTTGTACTCAGGATTGGCTTAGACTGCCTAATACCCCTATATCAATTGAGGAAAATCTGGAGGAATTGGAGAGATTTGAACAAGGTAACATACTAACACTTAACTTTCCTGCATTTTCTATTTACTTTTATTTTAAACTTGTCCTTGTATTTGCAGAATTGGGTGCTGATGGTGAGAGTGGAGCTGGGAGGATTGGTGGTTCTACACTTCCTACGATTCCTGTAATGTTATGCTTTATACTTTATACTACTTTATATTCTTGCATTAATGTAATCTGTATACTGTATTACTCGTGACTCATGAGGCTTGGTAACTAATTAGTAATTAGTTGCTGCCTAGTTGTCCAGTTGTCCTAATGAGGCTTGGTAACTTACTAACTTGTTGGTTGCTGCCCTTGGACCTTGGTGCACTGGACAGTGCCACAGTGGTATAACTGTTAGTTGGTAAGTTTGTTGTTGGACTCAAGGGTGCTGTACTGCTGGTAATGTATCATTGTATTATGTATTTATGACTTTAAATAATTTAACTATTTGTTATGGCGATGATGAAAGCTTCCACCAATGATCTGAAATAAGGGATTAAGCTGGTATGTTGCTCTATCCTCATGGGGATGTTGTAGCAATTTGCCTTTAATCCTAACTTTGATATGGACAAAAAGCTTACTGAGCCAATGTTTAATATCTTATTTTCTACCTTTTATAGTTTTATAAGTTATAACTTATTTTGTTTTTGCTAATTCATCTTAAGTTTTGAGTATTGACAGGAAGAAGAAGAACAGTAGGCTAGAGCTAAAGTAGGAACTACTGAGCAATCTGAGCTAGGAACTTGGATATTTTTTGAATTACTGTAATTTTGGTAATTTGGTGCAATGGTGGTTGCTGCAGTGTTTTTTAGAAATTGGCTACTTTTACAGTTTTACATTTTGTATAAGCAAATTCATAATTGCCCTTGCCCATTTGACTTTTTGGAGTCTAACTGTCTAAGTACTAGTTGTCTAGTTTAGTAGCTTTACATGTAGTTTGTGCACAGTGCACTACATGTTTTTGTAAATTTTTTCAGTTTTACTTAATTTTTACACGTTTTAGTCAATTATTTAATTTTATTTTTATATTTTAAATATCCGAGATGCATTCGGATATCCGACCGACCCGTCCTCAACCGAAATCCTATAAAACCGAAAAGATTTTACAAATTGATACAATGAGATTGGGTTTAAAAATAATAATCCGAAATCCGTGCGGTTTGGCCCTCCGAGTATCCGAACCGAACCGAACCGTCCGACGCACAGGCCTATTCATCTCACATGATTTCCTAGCTACCAAAGAGGGTAGAAAGTGATTCCTCCTATTAAGATTAGTAAAAGTAAACCAAACAACAACATGGCCTATTAGCTCAGTTGGTTAGAGCGTCGTGCTAATAACGCGAAGGTCACAGGTTCGAGACCTGTATGGGCCAGTTTATTTTTTTTATTTGATTTCCAGTCTATTTCATTTTTTAGGAAGGTCACAGGTTCAAGACCTGTATAGGCCATTTTTTGATTTGTCGGCTTTCTAGTTCTGCAAGTTATGTACTATCAAATCTGGCTTCATGAAATGAGTTTTGTAGATAATAATGTACAAGGTTAGTGTCCTTAACGTTACACTCATTTGTACAGCACAAAATTTTACTCAGATCAGGATTCATAAGTCTAATTCTTGCCCCTTTATTTCCTTTCCATACAGCTCTTTAATTTCTCTTGCACCTGTAGTTCTTCTTCTTCTTCTTCTTCTTCTTCTTTACAAAAACCAAGCATCTCTTGGTCACTAGACAGACGAGTCAAGCTTGTAGGCTCTTCGTTAATGAGAGGATTGTGGAGATCATCAGCTTGCTGTCGATGGGCTTTGTTAAATAAGCATCCATTCCCACCTCCAGGCATTTTGCTTGATCTGAAGACATTGCATGAGCTGTCAATGCCACAATTGGTATGTGTGAACCAGTTGCTACTTCAGATCTTCTGATCGCTTTCGTTGCTTCATAGCCATCCATCTTTGGCATCTATACGTGGAATATCATTAGTTCGTTAGATAGGTTCACTATAAATAACAGTTAAGTAGATGTACGGATTCTGAATAATTTCGCTTACTTGGCAATCCATCAAGATCAAGTCGAAAGCCAGGGAACAAGATCCTTCGGTTTGGGTAGTTGTTGAGCTGCCTTCTTCTCTTGACCACTCGTTTCTGCAGTCTTTTGAGTTAAGCATGAACTTGAGAGCATCCACAGCCTGCTGCCCGTCACCTACAACTACAACCTTTGCTCCCAGTTTTTCCAGCATTATCGTTGCAACTCTCTGAAGCACGGGTGTATCTTCAGCAAGTAGTATTGTCAGCCCCGCCAGAGATTTTTGTTGGGTTGTTTCATTTCTAGAGCTGACAGTACTTTCTCTGGGATGAGGGCTACCCAAGCATTCTAACGAACTATTCTTTGCCTGCATTGGTTGATCCTCAGGTGATGCATTGTCTTCCAAATTTGTTTGAGTGAAGTCAACAAAGTAGTTGTTGAGTGTTCCATATTGTGACGTGGAAGAGGCTTTGGCGAAATGTTCATTCCCCCTTTCTTCAACACGGAATGTGTTCACAGCTTTATCCTTCCCATTTTCTGAATTGTCAGAATCATCTGGGCTGGCAATACAAGAGTGGTTGGCATCAATTTCATGGCATTCATGCAAATTTTCTTCTGTTGTGTTTACTGCAGATTGCAGCTCAAGGCTGTTCTCTTTTACTATAGCTTCCAGAATCTGAATCATTTTCCCCTTGTAAAGCGGTCTATTTACCATCAACAGATGCCCTCTTCTCCGCAGCTCAGATTTGATGGTATTCGCAGTGTCGTGGTAAAGAATCCACGCAAACTTTGCTTTCCCACAGTATTTATCAAGAAAATTTAGCTGTTCTTCCCATATGTTTGTGCTTAAGTCAAGCAGGCCAATGTCAATAACTATGACAAAAAGCGAGGTGTTAGCATTGCCTGCACCTTGCGAGTTGGTTTTGGTTTTAGAAAGCCTCTGAAGCATTTGTGTCAGTTCATTCCACTCCGACGCTTCACAAGTATCAACTCCATTTTTCTCTAACCACTGGGACATAATTAGCCTTCCCATTCTGCCATTGAGTGCAAGCAGAACCTGCATTCAGGTGTCAAACGATAAGAGTTTCTCCAGCCATCCAGAGTATTAAAGAGAGTCAAATGGAGATATAGAATCCATATAGGCTAAACCCAATCTACTAAGTTCAGTATAGACAGCATTAGTTATGTGGTCGGGCGAAAATGCAGAATCATTTTACGTACAGTCATTGTCTGCTCTCTAAAATTCAGATGTCCGTGCTGTCCTGTGACATCTATAGGAGTGTTGAGTAGGAGGCAAAGTTGCATCAGAGTGCCCGATCCATTTTTCTTCACAACCCTGATCTCACCGCCCATTTTGTTCACCTGTAAAAAGCTCGTAATCATAAGACTAAGATAGTACACAGAGATCCAGCGAGGCAGACATCTGTTTATGTGCCAGTAATTTTGGTTTTCTTAAGGTAAACTGCTTAAATATGGTTCAAATATGCGTTATGGTGTATTCACATCTTCTTTTGTAGGGTGTTTTTGGATCTAGGAACAACATATCTACCGAATGATTAGCAGTTACAACTTACCAGGGTACGTACTATGCATAGGCCAAGACCAGTGCCGCCATGCCTGCATAACATTGAGATCAGATCCATTCAGATCAGCACAAAGACATTAATTTCAATATGCATTTTTCCACATGAAGATAGGACATGCATAAACTGCTTACAATCTTGTAGTGGAGGGATCAGCTTGCTCAAAGCTTTCAAACACAGATTCCCATTTGCTTGGATCGATTCCTGGATAATAGAATGGAAAATTGAAGTACTGAATATGCACATGTCCTAAGAAGTCCCGCTTGCAGTTTCTATACAGTTTAGGATGCATACCACAACCGGTGTCATCAACTTCAAACCAAAGGACAGTTTTGTTGTTATCTTTCTTGGAAGGTCTTCTGGCATGGTTTCCGTGTGGCTTCAACTTCACTTTAGGCGCAGACCAAGAGTCCTTCTGGTTGACAGAAAACTTCCTGCTGTTTGCGAGAGTGTTTGGGCTCTCACACCATCCCCGGAGAATGATATAGCCAGCTGCAAGGCATTTGAGACTGTCAAACCTTAATGTAACATTGGAGTAAGCAAAACACCAGAAAACTAATGGTTATCAGTGACAAAAGCAGACTTACAACTCGTGAACTTCAGAGAATTGCTTAATAGATTCGCAAATATTTGAACAACTCTTCCCGAGTCGCCTTTAACTAGTTTTGGCATGTCATCTGAAAATCGATAACAAAGTAAAATTTCTCGACTCAACTGTTAAGCACATTTCTTTTGTGGTTACTATAGAATATAGATTCTGCAGGACTGGCCATACCAGAGAGATCTAAAACAGTTTCCACATTGTGGTTAATGCATTGGACAGAGAACATGTCAACAAGACCTTCCAGTTCTCGACTCAAGTCGAATTCTGTCTCTTCTAGAACTAACTTTCCAGATTCTACCTGCACCAGGAACCAGTGAACAATATATATCAATTTTGTATAGCAAAGCATGGCAATATGCTTCTGACGCTCACCTTACTGAGATCCAAAATGTTGTTTAGAAGCCTGAGTAAAGCAGTTGAACATTTGCGTATCTGAGTGATTGTTGCAAATTGCTCATTTGTGAGACAATCGTCACATATAAGAATGTCCAGCAAGCCAATCACTGCAGCCATTGGTGTTCGTAATTCATGACTGTCAAAAGAAAGCAAAACATCAGGTAACTGCAGAAGTACACAACTTCAAAAATCAAAGAAAATCCATAAAGTTACAGAATTCATGACTTCAGGAAAAGCTAGAAGACCATGTTAAAAGCCACTTATTATCAGTAGACTATAATCTTTCTGACATACAAAAAGGTCCATATACAAACAGATGAAGAAAAACTAAAATCGAAATTGTTTATTCTGATTAGTACTGTAATAGTTAATAATAGATGCTTATCATGCTTCAGGAATATCAAAAACAAATCACCAACAATGAAATTTACCTAAACTTCAGAGAAGCAGCACACTTTTTCTCTTCTTTTTTATTTTTTATTTCAAAATAAATAAATTTTGTTATATGCGTGGCAAATCAGAAAACACAAGCTGGGCAGATGGAATAAGTAGAAATCATGTCAAACTCCACTACAAACCACCTATGCTTTATGCCATTTGCTTACTAAATAACTTTTTATCATGAAGATTACCTCATGTTTGCTAAAAACTGACTTTTGTAGTTGCTTGATGCCTCTGCTTTCCTTCTTGCGTCTAATTGACTTATCAATTCTGCCCTTAGTTTCATTTCCTTTGAAACGCCATTTGTCAATATGAATATGCAGACACATCCAATGATCAGGATGCACACAGATGCAGATATCAATATCACCAATGTTTTGAATGCCCTCTCATCAACCTTCCCCATTATATATTTCCTTGGAATGATTATAACTCCCACCTGCAAACCGATTATTGTAATTTTTTCACACTGATTATTAGAAATTATAAGTGCAAAAAAGTGAGGATTATCACCATAGGAAGTCTCCTTAAGTTCAGGAAAAATGAATCAATATAGTAGAGCTGATTGCCAAGCTTTGCGTTTTCTATATGGACTTCTTGACCGGGAGGAATCTTGTTCCCGTACTCTTCCTGCAAGCATTGGGCTCCAGCTTGTATCACAGGGTCCTCGGACTCAATAGCCATGATCAACTTTGGCCTTGTTGTGGAGTTCACCAAGAGAGGAGTATTCGTGGAAGTAGCAAGTAACCAGCCCTCTTGCGAGGTTAAATATATATGCCCACTATGGAACTCGACGATTTCTTTCATCAATTGGCCAACACTATAAAGAGCTGTGGTAACTCCCACAACAGCAACTATACTTTTATTAGATGGATCCCAAACTGGAAGTGCTGCAGAAAGCAGTGGCGAATCGGAGTACTTGCTGACAGCCACGTGCCACGAGGCTGCACCATCAGGCACTTGAGAAATGCCCGCAATATTGATCAACTCATCTGGTTGGATTTGGCTTTGTTTCCCAATCCTGACACCAGACAGAGGATCCAGGGGCTCCCTGTACCAGATAGCAGATGTGTTGCCATGTATAGATTGATCGTTCCATCCTTCACGAGACGACAACATACTAACATCATATGTTCCACTTATCGAATAATTGGAAAGATCAGAGTATATGTAGAACGTGTTGTTACTCCTGTGATCTCTATGGAAAGCCTGGACAAAGCCATTCCTGTAGTTGATGGTTAACGAATTGAGAGCTTTCCTGCTGGCAAACAGCGCCCACGTCACATCCTTCATGGCTTCATACAACTGCTAAGATTACAAAGCATTGGGTCAAAACTCAAAAGCTTGAAATACATTCATCATAAGTAACTTAAAGATCAAACAAGCAAAGTTAAAGAAGTGGCAACAACCTCAACTTGCTGTTCTTGATTTATAGCCTTGCTATAACGCCTCATTACAAACTCTGACAGTTTAACCTGAGCGGTTGCTATTTCGACAGTAGAATTAAGGATGTTCCACATTCTTAGTATAGGCCTTTGCAGCAGTTCATGGCGAAGACCGAATGCTAGCGTGTTGAGTGATCTTTTTGTGTAAACTCTGGTAAAATGCCATGTTAGTAAGGTTAACAATCCAATCAAAATTGCCAGCATGACCTGCATAAAAACCAAATTTCCAAAAAGTTCAATCAGACTAAATTCCATCCATTGTCACACTGAAAGCAACATAAAGACTTGTCAATAATAAAGAGAGAATATATATATGCTTTACTGTTGACTGCACAAGAAAATCAACCAGTTCATACAGACATTTCATCAGACAGTTAGTACTACAGACATGAGAAACCTGAAAGGAAACATAGTATACACATACCATGATGGCAAGACGAACCACAAACACGCTATAATATGAAGACAAGCAAAGGGTACTTGCATATTGAAACTCTTCTTCTTCTTCTTCTTCAACATCTCGGCGGAAAATTCTTCTTCTAGTGGGAGACTTGTTTCGTCTGTAAAGATTTCCAAAACCAAACATTTTATGCAAAATTCTTTCCGGGAGTGATCCCACGGGTGTGGTGGGGGTTGATGATGATTCAGAGCTGATAGAGGGAGTCCTATTGGCTCTGTACGCCATTGTTATTCTTCCTCAAAAAGTAACACAGCACATAAACATATATAGATATTGGGTTTGGACTTTGGAGTCAGAAACTTGAGCGTGAAGTTGCAGTATGTAGAGAAAGGCACAGGATTTATAAGGTTGGTGTTTTTATAATGTGATTTATTGAATATCACTCTCAAATTTCCACTTTGTGGGATGCCATAAATCATAAATGTTTTTGTGGTATACTTTAGTGGTTTGTGTGGTGTTACTCACTACTAATACACCTCCTCTACAACACCTTCTCTAATGGGAAATCGATGTTCATTATTGGAAAGTATGTACTGGATAAATCTCGTCTTATCATCTTAGTAAGTAAATGTCCATAAAAAGATAAATCAGTTTAAGTTGTTCATAGCTGATCCGTTCAAACCAAGAAGATGATCAATAGGTGCTGCTGTTAGAAATTGAACTTTGTAACCTCGCAGTTACTAAGTTAATCATCTGACCAACTTAGTTGGATATCTAAAAATGGTGTGATTTAGGAATGAGACATAGTATGAGAAAAGCTATGGCCTAAGAGTAGTCATTATTCAATAACATGGTACTATTGCTATTGGGGCAATGAGTTTCTTGTGATTGCAAAATCTGGGGACACTTCCTATTTCCCAGAAAGGGAACATCGTTTCCTGAAAGCTCCATTATTTGACTCTCTACTGCCGTGCTGGCTTGCTGTAACGTTCCAAACTCGAGCATTATTGTGTACTTGCACACATGTCAACAAAAAATCCAAATTGACCTAACTTTGATACACCACTTGGAGCGTTATGACTAGACATTCTAAATTAAAGAGAGCGTCGTAACTAAATCGTCTTATCAAAAACTTGAATGATCTCGACCAATTTAGTTAGAGATTGCACAGTTTTACAAAAAAAAATTGAATGATATTGGCAAAATTGGTTCGAGGTTGTGCGTTTGTGATATAAAATAAAAGTGGTGCTAAAGTAAGAAGTCATGGAATGCGCCAAGTACCTCGTGGTATAATAACATCACTGTTACTATTTCAAATGAAAGATTACAGGTAACATCACTGTTACCATTTCAAATGAAAGGTCACAAGTCTCAGTAACATCCTAATCAATAAAGGTCACAGGTAACATCAGTGTTACCCTTTCAAATACTTGGCTCACCAATTAGGATCAAACGCTTATCACTCACACCAAAAGTTATAGCTAGTAGTGAAAGCGTAACTTATTTTCTTATTTATAGACTGTTATCACATTATTCAGGTTAGATGTTGGACTTGCCACCGGTACTAGACATGACTCTTTTACTGGTCCTGCCCAACAATAATCTTGTTGAGCTGATACTATAATTCTATAAATATGTTAAGTTGTAATTATTTTTTTAAAAAAATAGCACTAGAGTGATAGAGGATTGTGAATAAAATAGTGAGAGCTCAACAAATAAAATGAAAGATACGGCGGCGAGTGGCAGTAGAAGAAGATGCGGAGCAGACAAGGCAGATTCTGATTTTGGATAACTTCTCACGTGTCACCACCATTCTACTTCTCTATCAAAAAGCTATTATACCTTTTATATATGCCTCTCAATTCTTTATAAATTATTATTATTATTATTAGTCAAATATAGGAGAAAGTCAGAATTATCTCAGAATTCTGACAGTGATCATATGAGCTTCTAGACGTATTAACTTATTATTCACTGACCTCTGGACTTCATTTGATCAAGTTGATTTAAGTTTTTCAGTTGGTTACACGAATGTGTTTTGAGTGAATTATGTTAATAGATAAAGAGGTAGACTAGAAATTTTGCAATTATTAAGTTAATTATCAGAATAACTTATCTGGAATAGTTGCTCTCTAAATATATCATGGGGTGTTGACAAATGGTTGATAGCGGATTAGACCAGTTGATAAAGGCAAAGAACAACAACAAAATATATATAAATGTTAAGGATTGCAAGGGTAAAATGGTCATTTTATAATTAAGGTTAATGTTTTTGAATGCTACTGACTCTATTACATTCTAGTATCTGTTCAAACATACTTTCTCAACCTAATGAAGCACAAAAAGTCAATAACGTCTCCACTAAGGCTCAATCTCAAAAACTCAACTCTTCTTAACTTTTTAGATTTTGACTTATTGCCCTATAATAAGTCATTTTGCCAAACACTTAAAGAGCCTATTGACCAGTCAAAATTGACTTATCAACTATGTTACCAAATAGGCCCTTACTTGTTTTATATATATATATATATATATATATATATATATATATATATATATATATATATATATATATTTGGTGGGAACCTTACTTGTTTATATAATATATGGAGCATATAACATATATTTTAAGATATATTAGTTCAAGTAAATTCACTAATATCTGTCCATGTCAATATTCAAACTAGTTAATCGAGTTAGAGTTCTACTCAATTGAATCAAAGTTGAACATTTATTGAATGAGATTGAAATAGCTCATGCTAGAAATTAGGTTTTGTGAAATTGACAAGGAAACACTTGATTATAATTAAGGTAGATAAAAAAAAAAAAAAAAAAAACATTGTTTTAAAAACTAGTATTTGCGCCCGTGCGTTGCACGGAATGAATTTGTTATAATATTTTAAAAATATTTAGATCGATATACAATTGTATAAATTATAACATCGAATATTATAAAATATAATTGAAGAATTGAGTTGCACCGATTATGTTTTCTGATGTTATCAATACTTGAATTCGAGTAAATAATTGCCCAATTAATAGTTAACGTGTAGATATACGCATTCGGTGCTGCAACTTTAGAGATTTTATATATCAGTGTTTATAATTTGTATTAATTGGACTAATTAGCTCGTTGTCTAGCAACTCAGTTATAGAAATTATTTATACGGAAGATATATTTTCTATGTAGATATATAGCAATTTTGTCATCTTTGTATATAAAAAACCATAATATCAATAACTTGAATTATACATTATTGAAAATCTCTTTATAGACAACATTGGTAGTAGTAACGGAATTTTATCCATCCTCGTCTAGAGTTAAAACCATCAGACCATCAGGATGGATGACTCGGGAAAAATTCACATATAATAAACTGTGATTAAAGACGAGTTGTTTTAGTAATAACTCAACGTGAGTTAGTGTTTGACCCTGACTTTTGTTGATAGTCATGGCATATGCGAGCATCAACGTGAATTGTTTTCGTTAGAACTTGAATGGCAATCTCGTATCAGAAGGGCGAAAGACATTTTAATTGAAGATTTTACTTTTATTAATAGTATAAATATAGATTGGTGTAAATAATAATTAATAAATTATTATTTTCTTATAAAATTACATATAATTTCAAATGAATTTTCTCATTTATTACGCAGAATTTGTTTCCATTATTCTCACAATTATAATGGTTTAATTATTCTCAGCATTTGATAACCATCATCCATTTTTAAGTACACATTGACTTCAATGTGTGATAAAAATTCATTAGATATTAGTTAATTTTCATATAAAATTTTGTTACCAATTAAGCTTTATTAAATTTTTTTTACCAATTAATTAATATTCATATTCATTTGGGCGGGAATGTTGAAGATGATAATTTTACTTTTATTAATAGTATAAATTGGTGTAAATAATAATTAATAAATTATTATTTGTTTATAAAATTACGCAGAATTTCAAACAAATTTTCTCATTTGTTACGTAGAATTTGTATCCATTATTTTTATAATTATAATAATTTAATTATTCTCATAATTTGGTAACCATTTTTCATTTTTATATACATATTGACTTTAATTTGTGGTAACAATTCATTAGATATTAGTTAATTTTCATATAAAATTTTGTTACCAATTAAGCTTTATTATTTTTTACTAATTAATTAATATTCATATTAATTTGGGTTGGGATGTTGTAAATGAGGATTTTACTTTTATTAAAGTCATTTCACTAAGAACTTGGAGGGTGTGGTTGAGTGGAAGGGACGCATCCATCCTTATTAACCAAAGGCAAGGATTTGATCATTGCCTTTGGGAATTGAGCAACTTTAAATCTCCAGGCCAGCCCTTTCACCCAAAAGAGGGGCATTAGTCACTTTATCTAATCATGTTATATTAATTTCATTTTGAAATCATTGGTTCACATATTTGATTTATTTATTTTTTCTTTAATTATTCTCGTTGTAAACATAAATGATATTGCAATAATTAATTTATAATATTTATCAAATTGTATTTTTTTTAAATGTAAAATTTTCTCATGTTTAGGGATTAAAAATATTTTAAAATTATTTTTTATTAGTAAGTATTTTTATTTCTAAAATATTTTTCAACAACCCAAACACTCCCTTAGTCTCTAATAAAAAACTGAAAAATAAAAGTTATTTCATTAAGAAAATTAAAACTAATTAAAGTAAATATAATCATGCTATATTTATTTGTAACTGTATATTAATTTCATTTTGAAATCATTGGTTCACATCTTTGAATTATTTATTTTTTTCTTTAACTATTATAAACAAAATTTATGATATTTATCAAGTTGTATTTATATAATATTTACACATGTTATGAGGTGTTAAAAAATATTTCAAATTATTTTTTATTAGCATGTATTTTTATTTTAAAATATTTTCCAGCAGGTAAACACTCCCTTAGGCTCCCATAAAAAAAAAAAACTGATAAAGAAAAGTCATTTCATTAAGAAAATTAAAACTAATTAAAGTAAATCTAATCATGCTATATTTATTTGCAATTGTATATTAATTTCATTTTGAAATCATTGGTTCACATTTTTGAATTATTTATTTTTTTCTTTAACTATTATAAACACAAAATTTGATATTTACCAAATTGTATTTTTAAAAATATATAACATTTACACATGTTATGAGGGGTTAAAAAATATTTTAAATTATTTTTTATTTGTATGTATTTTTATTTTAAAATATTTTTCAACAATCCAAACACTCTCTTAGCCTCCCATAAAAAAAAACTGACAAAGAAATATCATTTCATTAAGGAAATTAAAATTAATTAAAGTAAATCTAATCATACTATATTTATTTGTAACTGTATATTAATTTCATTTTGAAATGATTGGTTCACATATTTAAATTTGTTTTTAATTATTATAATTTATAAACAGAAATAATATTGTACT